CACGAGTGGTACATGTTCCTGCTGACTTGGCGTAAGTGGAATGCCATGTCACTCGCATGAGAGGATATCGCAAGTCCGTGTGCTGCTGTAGATACGTTTCTGCTCGCCTGTTTATTCTGTTTGGATATTCGATTTCATGCCGATTTTTCGGCACTGTCCGAGGAATGGCAGCAGTGAAACAAGGTACTGGCAAACTACCCGCCGTGGGCCGCACACGCGCAGAACTGTCTGTCGCACCGGCACTTTGCTTCAAGTTTGCTCTTCCAATCCGAGAAGCAGATGTCCGAACAACGATGAATGAATGAGAGTTCTGGATTTCCCGGTCGCGCCGGAGACAGGGTGGTGCGACCACAAGAGTATGGCAGAGCCCCTTCTTAGCCAACATTGCACCCAATTGTATGGAGTGAGGTTTACTGGGATTGTCGTATGTGTTCTGGATTTTTTGAGAACGGGTCACCGTGTTTCGGTTTTGTGTAACGGAGTGTGAGGATGGTTTGTTCTGCAAGTCGAGAGTTGCCAAGGCTGGTTCATGTGTTGTTGATGAGGCACAAAAGATCAATACCACTTTTTAATTAATAGGTCGTGCTGGGGGGGCTGCACTGGTCCCTATCTATTTACGGGGGTCACCGGACCTATTTTGGGTGACAGTGGGCATGAACAGTAAGACACGTCCAACTATAACCCAGTGCTAGGCCTTCACCAGAAAGGCCACTCACTCTTCCGTTAGTAGGAGCCTTGTAAAAGTGGCTCCCGACCTATTTCTTTGTATGCAGGAAGAACTGTTCGCATGCCTTTCCAGCAGACGTGCCCTGTTCTTTCGGCAATCCTGCGGCCGTTCCAAGTCTGCAGTCGTTCCAGGTCAGTTTTCATAGAACTCCCTCAGATTGGCAAGCTTCTCTCCGACAAAACAGCAGACAGAATCCGTCTGCTGTATTTATGCTTCTGCCTGGGCCTCCTTTCAGCAGACCAGACCATCAGTTGAGGTGCGATGCTCGATCGGACCATAGTGACTTCTGGAACCCGAAGGATGTGCTCGGACCTGAGCCGGAAGGGCTGCTTGATGGTGCGTGATGTCTCATCACGAGTTTTGTTGAATGCTCATCGTAGGTTTCACCCAGATGGCCGACCAATTGATGGAGTCTTTCTGGAGCTTGAGTTGGGCTCTTGGCATCGTATCGTGTGTGCAGGTAAGGTATGTCTGTGTCTTCCTCCAGTGACCTCTGATGCTTGAAGTACCTCCATCTATCAAGGTTGAATCTGACTCGGCATCGGACAGAGAAGACCCCAGAAATGGAGACTGCAGCTTCGTGGAAACATGCTTCTGCCAGTGTCAGTGGGTTTTCATCCTAAGGACTGTGGTCCGGAGATGGGACTTCTGAGGCCTGTCTCACTCGGCTGTCGAAACGTCACCGTTTGAGCATCGCAAGCCGTGAGGTTTCATGCCACACACATGGGTGGCTTCGGTAGCAAGCGCCAGAGCCGGCTGCATCCGTGGGAGAAGTCAGACTCCAAGCTCATGCTGCTTGTGAGTGCAAAATGCAGTGCTGGCCGGATACGACAGGCCTGAAAAGCTCCTGGCGCAGCGATCTCAGCTAAATGTTTCTCTAGGCCCTGGCAGGCTCCAACTGTGCTACAGTATCGGCGCGGGTCGCTTGCCGGCTTTGGCTAGGCTTGGTGATACGATTCCCGGACGAAACAACATCTATTGGAGGAGCCACCGCCTCCGCTTGCGGAGCCGAGCACTCTGCTCCTCCCTGTGCTCTCTCCGCTCTCCAGGAGAGCGGTGGTGGACGTGAGGAAGGCGGACTTCCAAGACGGCCGCTTCCTCCGCGTCGGGGCCTTGGGGGCTTCCAAATGCACTAGTCTCTACTCAGACTCTCTCCGGCAGTCGGCCGGCATTTTGTCAACGACGCCCTTAGGCTCCTGAGGAAGAGGAGGAGGAGCAGCGGAGGGCTCATCTGAGTGACATTGACTGACCGTATGTCTACATTGGTGAAAGTGTGTAAATGTTTGGGTTTTGTCGAGAAGCCGGCATGCAGATTTTATGCATAACGTGCTGAGGCGGCGCATGGCCCATAGGCAGGAGCTGCGACATCAGCTTGAGCATCAACAGCATCAACAAACACCTCGCCCTCGCTCTCCTCGTTCTCCATCCTGGAGGCACGAGGTTTGGGGTTAGGGTTATGTTGTGCTGATGACTGAAGGAGTGCGCCAGAGCGCATGTGCTTGCCAACTTTCGTCGGCATGCTTGTCGTGTCAACAAGACGCGCACGAGCCCAGAAGTCGCCGCCTGAAACCTTGCATGTTTCACCACGTCGCTTGAACCGACAACAAAGATAAGCGCAAATCGTGACGTCCGAGGATGGCCGTAACGACTCCTAGACCGCAGAAAAGTGAAGTAAACTAGCGACATCGGCAGGCATCTAATGTGCATGCAATGGCACACTAAGCCACGTGTCGAGTGTTCGGCATGACGTTGATGAAGGGTTTTCTGCATGTTAATGCCTGCGAGCAGTGCAGATCTTGTCGGAAGGTCGCAGTTTGCAGTCTCATGTCAGAATTACAAGTTACACCGTCGCAGGCAGATGCCGCAAGAGCATGGCCAAGGCCAGGGCCAAGGATCCGCACTTAGACTTCGTGGATTTTTACCAAAACTAGCTCTTGCTCTTCCGCCTCGCGAACGTCAGAGCTGGTACTGAACTAAGATGATCGATGCATGCACACTGCCACCGTAGGAAATTCATGGGCAAAGGGCGTGGAAATTAGGAACCCAGTGGGTGTTAGCTTGTCTGGAACCATTCAAGACGGATCTAGATTGAGCCGACTTCGTGTCGGTTTGGTCCATAGTGCAATAGTGCTTTGTTTGAACTTGAAGCTTTCTGGCAGCGCCTGAGAGGTTTGAATTTTGCTGCTTCCTAGGCGGACGCCTGCCTCACTTTGTTACGCTGCCGGCTCAGACATCCGAGAGCGTTGCAGATCGCTTGTCCTGGCAGGGCTGTACCGCACGGCACGGGGTCGCATGCTTGCTTGCGCATGCAGGTTCTCCGGCGCGGGTGGTAGTGCCAGACCAGTTGCCGTGCTGCCGGCTTTTTTCAAAGCGCTTCTGCCAGAGCGGTTGGAAGATTGCAGTCATGCAAGGTACAGGCTTCTCGCCATGAGGCGGACGACTGTTCGCCAACTCCCAGTGCGTCCCTTCTGCTTCTCTTCTATAGCATCTCTCTACACTGGCGGAGCTGAGGCCTGATGTCGGATTTCCTGAACGATCTGTGCGCGGCACAGCCAAGCCATGCGACATGCAGGGACCGGCTTGCAGACTTCACTACCATCAAGCTGAGAAACGATCAAGGATGATAATTCCACGACATCAGCTTGACACCGAGTTATTGATAAGCTTGGGGTGTTGTGCAATCCACAGGTTTGAGGCTAGTCGGGAAGCTTATTTGACCCGCTCTGTCCCACAACAGGGCAGAGAGCGCGCATTTTGCTGCTGCGCTGGCCACACTCGCGGACTAAGCCTGTGCGCGTGCAATGAATGCTGGACTGAAGCGCCCTAGTCAGAACGGACTGGTCTGTTCCGAAGGAATCGAGCTACTGGAGCTTCTCACACATCACAGCAACAGGAGCAGCAAACGACTCTTTCTGGATGTCCCTGAATCATCCTGAATCTGGTATGCACAGGTTGAGACGTGCTTCAAACACTTGTATGCAAGAGCAATACGTCGGTGACAGCAGACGTTTTGGGGATTACGTGCAATGCAGCGCGGGCGGTGCATTTAGTAAGGGCTGCAATGGAAACTCTAAGATCCTACGTCAAAGCTGCCCAGCAGCTTCAGGGCACGCTCCGGAATCCAGATTACTCACCGAATTCTGAGAGCTTCAGCCGTTGCTCAGGTTCTCGACGAGCCCTCAAAGGTGAGTGAGCTTCAGCGACACGCCGCTGCAAGGATGGGGCACCAACGGACAGACCCGGTGATCTATTCGAACCTACTCGAAGTGGAAATCAGCTTAGCCTTGCTTTCAGTGCGGCTACTGGCTGACATAATTAGGTCTTCTGCATGTGCTACCTCCATGCTGCAAGATGCAGTGTGGCAACCGACTGCAAGATGCAGTTTGGAAGTCGTCGAATTTTTTGACCGTTGTCTCTTGTAGAGCAGAGCAGAGCATGCTAAAGATGCATGTTGTCCTGACCTATACCCTCATCATTGTGATTTCTAGGCACGCGCTGATGCCAGCGTTGCAAGCTTGCAGATGGACAAAGTGCTCCAGCAAAGAGAGGGAGGGGGCGTTTGTAACCTAAACCCCAGAGCTTGAACATGACAGCATTTCCGTGCTTTCCCAAGCCGAGTCGAAGTATCCATGACCTCCGTGCCTGCTGCTCGAAAGCAGTTTTCACGAGAGTGGATTTTGAGGCATACAGACATACGGATGTTCCTGCTGTGTAAGGGTTATTGTGCGGCCTGCGCGCGGGTGGGGTTTCTGGAGTTTGCGGGTTAATCATGGTTTAGGGCTGGGCAAGTCTTTCGGTGTGTCGCCGAATGCATGCAGCGAACCGGTATCACCTGCTTTCCGGTAATCGTATTATCGCCAGGCTGGCTTCGATTTATCGCGTTGACGCGTACCCAACTGCAGTTATGATGCAGAGACAGATTTGCGTACATCTATGTGCCCACCTATCCCTGATGTATCACTAGCTTCTTCCGTCCCAGCTTTGACACATGTCCGAGGCAGCTTTGCAATGGATTTTGATTGACCCCTCTCGTTTCCACGTGCTTCTACTCAATTCGAGCTCTAACATGTTCCACGCAGCCGTGATGCAGCAAAGGAGTGAGCGAATTTTTCTGCGGTGTTGTACAGCCTTGCGTTTACAGGAGCTCTACTGCTTCACAGGTGCCGATGTAGTACACCAGACAAGCGCAACGCAGCAGTTGCAGCAGCATTGGTGACATCGGCAGCATCATATTTCTGCTTCAATGTAGTTGAAATCGAATCGGGCTTGCCGCATGGCATCCGAAATCTCAGGGTCCGATGGAGTGCTCCTGCGCATTGACCGATTATATCGTGGTGCGAAGGTGGGAGACTGCAAGTTCCCAGGACCTTCGAGTTGCAGTTGGAGCCTGCAGTCTCTCGCCCAAGATCTCAGGGTGCCGCTGCAGCAGCACCGAGCACAAGTGGTTATGGCAATTCTGGGAGATGCTTCTTCTGGCAAGACAAGTTTCGTGAATGCGTTGACCGAGGAGCTGTCTCTGCTTGAGGAAAGAGTTTCGACATCTCTTCCGGCTCAGTGGCAGGTCTCAGAGGACTTCGAGGGCGAGTGGCCGAGCCTTTTGTTGCAAGCAGCAGAGCAGTTTCCAGATTGGATGCAACGGGCAGCCGCCATGGTCAAATCATGTCGGCATGTGCCGGCACAGGGTCTTCGAGGAATCGAGGTTATTGAAGTGTCTGGATCACTTGCTCAACAAGATCTGGAGCCGATGACGTGGATACTTTCGCACACAGACATTGTGGTGTGCATGCTGGACTCACAGGCCAAGCAACCTTCAGAAGCTTTGCTGGCCCAGCTCAAGAAAGTTTGCAGCGTGCAGGAGCCTCCCGAGCTACAGTTCGTGTTCTCGCGGGCTGACCTCTTGCGACGCGAGTCGGACAGAGTCCAGCTGATTGCCAAGGCATCGCGGCTTCTCCAGGAAAGCCTGGGCAGACGTTTCGAGATCCTTCCTGTTGCCACTGGGGACCTGGCGGTGCTTCTGGACGTTCTGGATGACAAGAGCAACAAGTGGGATGCAGGGCGGTGTCGAGCTCTGCACTCTGCGCAGGCCAGCATCCGATATATGTTCTTCTCAGCATCTGAATTTTTCCCCGGCTTGAAAGCAGGAGCTGCTACAGCAGCGAGTTCAAGACCGGTTGGATCTTTTAAGAAGCGACTGCAAGGCAGATCAGCAGATCAGATTACATGCATGTCTTTGGTTTCTGTGCAGCTGCGCAGCTGCCCTGACAGAGGCTCTACGCTTTGCATTGGACATGCAGAAGAGCACCTCTATACAGACGCCAGCTCAGGCTGGAAGCAGAGCTTCTTAGATGGATGAGTGTCTTGCTCAGAGCATACTCGAAGTTGCCCACCTGAGACCAGCACCGGCGGCAACCAGCTGCTCCTGCTGCAGACTCGAGCAGCGCCAGGATCGCAAGTCATGCATTGCCATTCTGTTGCCTGTCAAGGTGTGGTATTGGCTTTGCACTGGCAGCCGCCGTAGCAAGACACTTGGGATTGGGCCTGCCGTGTGTTCGATGCCTGAAACCGCATGGTATCCTAAATCTCCAGGTGCCGTTTGTCCTCGACGAGGATTTAGATGCCTCCATGGTTCATCTTGGCAGAATTGTTGACTTGCGACGATAGCTGCCTTGAATCGTCGAAATTCCCCTGTGGAAGTACACCGCGCATCTCCTTTGCCGCGCTATCGCCACGGCAGGTTCCAATTTTCATGGCATGCACTCTCGTGCTGGCCTGCTTCTGCTTGTTCCTCGCATTCTATCAGCGTCGGCGGCTTAGCACATAGGCGGCACTGGCGATCGTCATGACAGGTCCTTCTCGCATGCTTCTCCGAGGCAGCCAAGCCCCCGAAGCACTGCCCGGGGAATCTGCGATGAGTAGTCCCATGCTGATGAAAGAACAGGCAGCAAAGTTGAGAGATGTTGGGAAGGATGCTCTCGCTGCTTATCTCGCTGCTTGGCAGGAGCGCTTCCTGTCTTTGGTTGAGAAGCAGTGTGAGGCCTCGTCAGCGTCAGTCGAAGATTTCTAGACTTTCCTGACTCGAGCTAAGCGGCAGGTATGGCAAAGGAGCAGTGACAGGATTCCCGGGACGGGAAGCTGATGGATGCGCAAAAGTTCCTGCGTGTGCGAGTTATTGCGATTTCATCTAGGCCTCCCTTGACGGACTCTGGTGACTTGCACTGCCATGTTTCACGTATGCAAATTCCGAAATCTGCGTTGTTACTGCAGTTCTTCGTGACTCCGTCCTGTTTGCGGCTCGCAGCCACACTGGGAGTGGTGGGACATGGCTTTGACCAATGTCCCTCGCAGGAAGTGCGTAGTCGCCTGAAAATGTGCTGAGTCGATTCGATGGGTGCGTAAAATCACTTTAGGTCTGGACAGAAGCTGCGACTCAATGTAGTCGCCCTCACAGGCAAGGTCTATGTTGCATGCGTTGACAGCTGTCTCGCTACAGCACGAGGCGGTGGAACAGAAGAAAAGCTCCTCGTGTGCATCGATGAGGAGGCCACGGCCAGGACCTCAAACCGCAGCAAATCAGGTCGAAGCGTCGACCATCATCAGGAGGGTCAGAAGTAGGTAACAGGACCAGCATTGAGTGAAACAAGTCCAGATTTTCAATTTAAGTCAGTGCAGCATCTTAGATACTGCTCCAGCATATACGTAGCAGATTTGAACATGCGAGTGCCGCAGCAGTCCGATCTGCAAGGGAGGAAAGTTCTTGTCCACGATACTCGTAGCTTTAACTTCAATTGTCTTTCGCTTGATCCTTTATGCGTTTCTGTTAACGCCGGTATCCGGTATGCTGTCTGTTTTGAGTGGTTTATAGTGGTTTGCAGGAGAGTGTGGAGTGCGGAGCGAAGAGCTGGCCGAAGGGAGTGCAGTGGCAATGCACTTCGTGCGCTTCCATTGCCCAGGTGGAGGATCTTGCCTCGAAGATCGCATCAGTACTAGCGAAAGCCCGAATTGAGGGACGGCTGCTGAGGCGCTATGGTCCTAATTGCTCCTTTGCACTGATCGGAATCGGTGCCCTATACCCGGCAGGCTGACCAATACCAAGAACGCACACTTGCGCGATGAAGACCGGGTGGGAGATGCACTGCGCGACGGTGAGGACGTGTTGGCCGTGACTCAACTAGAGCTAGGTCGAAAGTCCTTATGAAGCTCCTGTCGCAACGGAAAAGCTGTCTCTAGCTTTAAGATATTGTCTGAAGTTGCAAGCAAGGTACTTACCCAACAGCTGGAAGATCCGGCTGCAAGGCTTTGGGTCTTTTACCAGCACCTTTTGCAGCACGACAAAAGTTGGGGCCAAACCTCTGAGTGGAGGGACGGCGTTGGCGCTTCAGGCGCTCGGACCTCGGCCTTGGTTCGTGGTTCCATGCGGAGCTGAGGAAGTTTGACTGGTTCTCGAAGCCACACTAGGTCACAGCCAGTGCGGGCTCGAGCTTTCCCAAAGTCCCACGCTACGCCATGCAAGAGGCCAGGCCACACTCGGAGGATGGGCTTTCAGCACCGGATTGGCTTTCGAGGCAGAGGCGGCTGCTCTGGGCGGTGTGCCCAAAGAAGTCACGCCCCAAAGTCACTACGAAACTACTCTGCCTCAACCCTGACGATGTTCCACTGAGGTCATTGGGCCGACAGCACCTGTTAGCGTCACTGCCCTTGAGGGAACACTGCCCTTGTGGGAAATCCCTGCAAGTGCCTAAACCCAGAGACTCCAATATCCCTTAGTTAGGTAATGTCCGGCGTGGCCGCTCCGGCAGAGTTCTTGCCAGGCGGGCTTTGCTCTTCAAAAGGTTCAGTTCGCGTCGCTCAATGACAGCTGCGTTCAGGCCCAGTTGAGGCTTTCGAGGAAGATTGGAAAGTTCCTGCGAGCCGCACCGGGGCCCGCGGCACAGTTCATAGGCTGTTGGAGTCAGAGCAGCCGGAGCCATGGCCCCAGCCAAGGTCAGCCAGGACAGATCCGACCGATACCGTGAGACACTTCGGTAATTTCTCAACTTGCTGAGAGGAGGCGTCGCCAAAAAGGTCCCGCTGCGACTGGGAGGTTGCGAGTCCGTGCGTCGAGAGCCATCGTAGTTCGTGTTTGTGCCGTTGCAGGTGGAGCAGCTCACACACAAGTTGCGGGAATACGTTGTGGCACGCTTTAGGGAGGCCATGCTGTCCACAAAGACGGCTGTGCCATGTAGTGCTCAACGCTTGCAGATGCACGAGATGCCAGCCGACCCTGGTTCGACCTATATCATCGCCCCAGCCCAAGCGACAAAACTAGCTACTCGCAGACCAAGCATATTCTTTGCAGGTGTCTCTCCGACCCCGCGAGCAACCCGGCTCGGTAGTGTCGCCACTCCCACTTCACTACAGGCCATGGCCTCAAGAAAGGCTGTCCTTTCTTTGACGACTTTGATCACCTTGAGTTCTCGAAAAGTTTGGCCAGTGTGGCACGTGTGGACATCATCGAGTTTGAGCGGCTTGCCCGGCGCAAGGTTCAGGAGCAACAGACGGGCCTGGTAGCCTGACCCATGCGAAACCGCCTTCCGGGTAGGGTTTTACCAAGTGCAGGAATGCCGGATGAGACTGGATTTCTTCAGGCGATGCTTGGAGGCCGAGTGGAGCGCATGGAAACTCGTCGCAAAGCTTCTCTTGGCAGTGTCGTATGAGAAGTGCGACATCGGGAGGCTCTCAACTCCCTACTGGATCGTGGAGCTGTTCGCGAGGTCCTCTTTAATCTTTGGTCAGCGGAACAGAGGCGAGTGAGCAGTCATATTGACGGTGAGATGAGCAGGCATATGTCCCAAACATGCCTGGGCCTCGGCCGATTCGACGTTGCTTCGGTCGATCGGAATCCGAAACTGTGTCATCTTGAGGCTCCCTTACAGCTACAGGCAGGATGAGGACAAGCATCGAAACGGAGTTCTTGGACACCAAGACACTCGCCGCGATGTAGAGCTAGCAGTAGCAGGAGTTCGGAAGCCTGCTGGAAGAAGTGGATGAGGGCACCTTCGGCCAGGCATGTTGAGCAGCATTGGCACTTCTGAGCTACCATGAGCCACCCGGCCACGTTCTGGCCAGGCCGAAGGCTTTCGGCCGGTGATCGTGCTGGACACTTCCGGCCCACTCGGCCAGGCCGGGCGTGAAATGCTCAGAGGGTCGCTGGGTTTGGTCACCGCTTCGGACGTCGGCGGTGGGGTACTCGGTTAGTCTTTCCACTTGTGAGTGTGAACAAACTGAAGGGGCAGCCACAGAATGGAGCAAAGATTGCCGATGTCTGGCAGCACCTCGTCTTCGTGAAGGCAGCCATCAAGAGGCTGATGCAAGGGCACTCAGCTTCCAGACATCGGCGATGCCTCAAACGCTAAGCGACGAGTCTCCGAGTCTTTTGCAGCAACTCAGGTACTCTTTCATCGTTGCGAAAAGCAGGCAGGCTAAGACTCCATGCAGCTGCACTGTACTCACGGAGCCTTGAGAGCTGTGTTCTTGCCAGGTTCAACATCATTACCTTCAATTCGTCAGGAAAAGCCGTGAGCTGGGAGGATCTGCTGTCAAACCCCCTCAAATGCCCAAGCTTCGCTCGTCGGATTCGGGCACAAGTCTCCACGAGCACTCATGAGGACCATCTCGTGCCACCCGTTGCTCAGAAGTTAAAAGAGGCCTGTTGCTCAGCAGCTCAGAGGGGCGCAAGAGACTCTGTGACGTGTCCCCAGTGCTCTCATGTACCTCCACGAGGCAGAGAGCTTCATCGACATGGCACAGCCATGTTTCCAAACTGAACTTTTGGAGGCGCTACTAGTAGCTGCTAGCCTGTGCGCTCCGATGCCCTGCGTACCAGGCAATGAGATGGGCCGTGCAGAGCTGTGACGCCGCTGCAGCCTTGGTGAAAAGGAGCACATCAAAGCTTGCTGAGCCATGTCTGGGCGACACAAGGACATGGTGTACTTGCTCACCTCCGGCTTCTGCAAAAAAACGGATGTCGTGCCACCCTGAGTTGGGCTTGATCTTGTGCCCGACGAGCCTTGGAGACCTAGGAGTATTGCCGAGCAGATATCCGTTCCAGAAATCTTCGTCAACTGTCGCTCGGCGAGAAAGTCGCTGGGCAGGATCTGAACAGAACCAGATGTGGTGTCGGGCTGCCCCCTGCAGGCCCATCCACGTCATTGGCGTCCAGTGTGAGGCAACATATCTGCTAAGTTGCATGCACAGGGTGCACCAGAACACGTCAGTCGTTTGCCATGCTTGCTGGGTTCCGAAGAGACGAAACGGACACGCCTCGTGAGCGGGAGTCCTTTACCTGCTGGACAGCAGGGCTGCCCAAAGAAGCTGTCGGAAGGTGCGGGCGGAGGTCGATCTTCGGCGGCTGGCCGAAGAGTTCCTGCCCTAGACGCATTCATGGCTACGGGTCCGCTGCCCGTCCCAGCTAGACTGCTTAGGCCTCAAAATTCCTCGCTTGAATAATTGCTGTACGGTTTTTCGCAAGAATATGTGCGTCAGCTTTCCGCAGGGAGGATGGCAATATTCATGTCATTGCTCTGCAACGTTTCAGCCTGGCCTGATGAGGAACAGGGGCTCATTCCGTCACAAGAGCTTTCGCTCCAAAGCGTGGGTGCCTCAGTGCTGGCTAGCAGCCTGCTATGCAAAAGTCGACGGCCCGCTCAGCTAGTTTGGCCCTGACTGCACCAGAAAGGTCGATCTCAAAATGCTTTGCGCAGCTGCTCAGCTCCAGGCGTTGGCACAAGCAAAGCCCTTGAAGGTGTGTTCGCAATACCCTTGCCTGAAGGCGCACCTCGACTCCAAAGAAGGCTCTTGGCAAAGCTGCCCAGTGCCTTTCAGTAGGCGGACAAATCGACATACTGGAAGTGCTTGTGGCTTGGCTGATGGATGTGAATTGGGCTTGTGCATGTTTGAGGTTGCAGGGGCGGGTCGGGCTGCTGGTGTGCTTAAACGAGGTGAAGGAGCAGGAAGTCCAGATAACAGATTGGCTGGAAGAGCAGAAGTGCTCGAACCGAATCCTGCTGAGTACTACATCGCAGCATCCTGTACCCGATGTTCGGCAAGCCCGCTATGCAGCTGGCCAGCTGGTCGTCAATCAGCTCTGTCGTGCTGCGCCGCCACCCCTTCGAGAGCTGTTGCAAGGGCGAAGACCGCGGTCACGGACCTCGTGTTTTGGCTGCTCTCCGCGAACCGAGAAGTGGGCTTCGGACGATGGCGCTCGTCGTCCAGCTGTTCAAAATCCTTGGGACCGACCAAGTGGAGTCGTGAAGGTCTCCGAGGCCGGCCGTACGGCGTCTTCTTGCAAATTGCTGCGTAGCTTCTTTCAAAATGCCTCACCTCTGGTCCAGGTGGCATCCTGCGAAAAAGGCATTCACCCTGCCCGAGCCGCTCTGTATAGGAATCCCGGCCCAGGCTATGAGTTTGCCCGCTAATCTGATTACGCGTTGTTCACGGGCAGAGCTCGGAACCCTGCAATCGCAGAAGTTGGCACGTGCCGTAAGAGGCATGGCCAGCCCAGGGTTGTTTGAGTCGCCTCCCAGCCACCTGCAGCGGGAAACGTGCGCTGTGAATGGCAAACAACCCGGCAACTTTTGCGTGCACATGGCCCATGCGACTGCACAATGCGTGGCTTGCAGCTTTTTTTTAGTTAGCGCCAGAGGCGTTTCGCTGGTCATGAATTTAATGTCTTGATGGTGGGAGTTGCAGAATCAAGAGAAATCCGAATCTAGGCCCCCGGTAGCAGACCAGATGGGCATTCGGCATTGGACCGGCGAGTCAAGGTAGTGACAAGCTGAAAGATTTTTTCCGTGCAGATGACGAGCAGCCGAAGATGTCACGAGATATACTTATAAGGCAGCCGTCTTCGGTTGACATCAGCATTTTCAAAAAACTATTTTAAACACGGCCCAACATGCCGGTGCCGACGAGCAGAATCCTGAGCTGAGGCTGTAGTCGAGGTAGCCGTAAGAAGTTTCGAGTCTTTCGGCCGCAGAGGCGACGTGACAGCTCAGGCCATGTGCATGTTCTTGGTGCAGCAGAGCAGTCCTGGGGCGGATTCAAGGACGCCAACTCTTTGTTTGCTCCCGGTGCAGGCAGCTGTTGCGAACAGGTCGGATGTAGTGGCTGGGTTACAAACCCTGACCGAGCAACTCACGCCAGGTCTTGACTCCTTCGCTCCAGGCCGACCCTTCTCACAAACTTCAACCTGATTTGCTGTCCCTTACTGTATACCTACCAACATAACATCAATACTCCGGCACTAACTGCATGGACTTTTAAAGCTCTCACACGATGGTCCTCGTGATCAACCCGGACTTGGCTGTGCCAGCGCACGCATTTATAAGTTAGTTGAAGGCCAGATTGCCTGTAACAGGCCTCAAGAACTTCGTAGTAGTGACAAGTCTTCTTGGCGACCGGCGAAACAACAGCGAAGTTGGGTGTATTGGGAATGCTCCATTCTTGGGCCTTGTGGCAGAGAGAGCCTGTGCAGGACAGATCTTCGGGAGCTGACCAGACGGACCACATGGCTTCGATCCAGGAATCTCTGTGGACCTTCCGAGCAGAGCAGGACGAGCAGACTTTTGCCAAGTGCTGTTGATCTGCCAGCTTGCAGATAAAGATTTGAAGTCTCTCATAAACCGGAAGGCCCAGGTGTCGGTCTTGGTGGCAGTCCCTGCCGTGTTGTCTGCTGTACGACGTGGTGCCGCTCCTGTACTTTGTTTCTTTCTTCGTTCGCGCCTGCCCTTGTGTTCCCCCATGCTACAGTAATACTGTACAAACAGACAGACCCATGCATCTCAGATTGTTGTCCGAAAGGGTCCCAGAAGCTGCGCGAATCGACTCTGTCTGGGTCATTATCGGGCAAGATGGCACCCAGCGACCGCGTTTGACGGTGAAGACAGACTTGTATTCGCCCTTAAATTATGACACGAATGCACGGAGTTGTCAACAATTCGTGTTCGGGTGGGGCACGTTTGTGAACGTAATGACCTTTACGGCTTCAGTGGCGGGACGAGCCCCTGAATCGCGCATCTTGCAACATGAACTGCTGCGCAGGACTTGTGATGCTTCATAGCTCGGCTGTTCTGCTTCCAGCGAATCCTAAGTGCCCCTTTCCAGGCCTTGCTCCCGTCTCCTCACGAGCACTAGGTCATACAGCACTCGAGCAGGTGCAGGGCCTTAGGGGACCAACATGAAGTCGTGTTTTAGCATGTGCGAAAACACGTTGCCATGCTTGATGTCTCACAAGCATTGACAACCTCGGAGATACGTCCATCTGATTTTCGCTGGACAGCCCCGTCCTAGCTTGTACGAGCATCCGCCAGTCTGTGATACTGGCAAAGGAGGCTTTGGTGGCAACTTTGTCGAGCCTGGTGCAACAAGTGGACCTCCTGTGCGAGACCGCCGAAGCTTTGCCTTAAACTTACGGCTGAGTGGTTCAGTGAGTGCGTCGCAAGCAGCATGGCCTTCCAAGCACCTGAGAGCTTGTCATCAGCACAGGCATTAAGACTGTTCGAAAGTATGAGAACGTGTATGGACTGGACTCTTGACGTATGATCAAAACTCACCCAGCACATCCAAGCGATCTGCAAAGCCGGAACTGAGGATCCCCGGCTCGCCCGGGAGGCAAGACGGAAGGGCATGAAATACTCGGCGAAGCGGGCTGAGAGCGAGTTCCTCTCCTCTACAGACATGGAGGATTATGTTCCTTAGCTGATTGGTTACAAAAACGGTCGTGTTCCACTGCATATATTCTGCCCGCCACCATATCACACAGGCACGGATGTGCATATCAGTGGCGTAAAGAGTCGCTCGCATGTGGTCTGTTCTGACACGGCGCTGATTCGTCTTGAGCATTGCCCTCCAAAATGCACGATGTACAGGAGCGGCACAGGCTGGTCGCACATGCGCGCACACACACACACACATGTTTTGTGGAGTCTTCGAATGCCTTCGGCAACGAGGCCATCTCTACGTATTTGACCAGGATCACAGGGGCCATGCAGGAAACCGACGACGACTCCGGCAGAGAAAAGGACGAGTTGGCTCCTGCCGACACCTGCATGGATCGCTGGAGGGCTCGATGTCAGTGGCTGCTTGATTTGTATACTTTCTCGTAGACCCATGTGCACAATGAAGCTGTACGGCAGAACTTGACTCGTGATGCTTCCTTGGTGCCAGGTTATTAGCGCTGTATCCTTTCGACTACTGCATGGGTGTAGTTCTACTCGTCAACTCAATTTTCGTTGGCATCGAAGTTCAGACTGGACTGGTGAATCAAGAGGCACCAACCTGGGCGCTTCCATTGGATATCTTATTTGTGGGGTTGTACCTTGTCGAGATTACGATACGCCTCGTAGGTTGGGGCTGGCATTATTGCTTCACCGATGGTTGGTTCGCCTTCGATTTCGTCTCGGTGGTACTCGGGTCTGCCAGTATCGTCGCACAGCTGCTGGGCCCTTTAATTGGAAGTCCAGAGCTCCTCTCTTTCTTGAACTCAGTGATCGTGGTGCGCTCCCTGCGCCTGTTGCGGCTCGTCCGAGCCCTGCGCATGTTGCGCTGGTTCCGGACGGCATGGAGGCTTGTCTTCGGCCTCCTTACCTCCGGGACTACCATGACCTCCACACTGGGCCTTGTCTTGCTGACGCTCTACGTCTCGGCCTGCCTCGGAGTGGAACTTATCTCCAAGGACCCCGTTTTGATATCAGACCCGACCACAGAGTTCATCGTGGAGCACCACTTCGGTTCCCTCACCATGACTATGCTGACCTTGGCTCAATTCGTGACACTGGACTCCATTGCCGCAATCTACAGGCCCTTGGTTTACCACAAGCCAGTTCTGGTCGTATACTTCTCAGGCATTATCCTGGTGCTATCCATTTCCTTAATGAACCTGGTGACAGCCGCGCCCTCAGTTTCACCAGCTGGCGCGACTCGTTTCCTGTCCCTGGAAACATCCGAGAAATGCCTGAACATCAGCACCCCGTAGCTGCGTCGATCATGTCAGCGATAAGCACGAACACTTGCACGAAGATCGTGTGTGTCCGTGACACGGGTAGCTCCAGAAGCCGTGGAATGAAACAGCCGAATCGCTCGGCTGTACACTCATGCTAGACAGTGGTTGAGCGACGACAGCCTAAATGTGCGGACGTGGGAGACCAATCAAGTATAAGGACGCAAGCGTAAAGAGCTTTCGAGATACCACCCACATCTACACCTGTTGTGCAGCAGTTTTGCACCATGTTTTGGCGGTCAGAGGCCGCTAGCCGTTCCTTTGCTCTTGCAGAGTCGGTGGCGTTCTGTGTGTACTTAGATCTAGACAGAGTCTTAGCGGAAAGACATCTCTCTGCTCCGGTTTTCCTGCGCCGTCGTGAGTCTTGGTGCTGGCAATGCTGGCAATGGACGATGCTGCAGCATGTTGACCAATGCTGCAGGTGGATTTTTGTTCATTCTCAGCCTGCCGAGGCTGTGTTGGTGGAAGGAGCGTTGGAGAACGCTCAACATGATCGAGAGCTCAAGCGGCACGTTTTGCAGGAGAAGCTGAGAAGAGCAGCGCCCTGTCAGAATTCTGTGGCAAGGCGGCTCCAGTCTTGACACTGTAGCAGCGTGTTAACATATGTGGGAAGCATGTAGCAGATGAAGTTTCTGCCTAGGCTTTGTGGGCCGTGCCCCCGCCTCGACCATGTTCCCAAGAACGACACATCTTCAATATGCAAACCAAGTTCAAGCTATGATTTCTTAGGTGGCCAACCTCAAGAGTGTCCCTCAAGGTAAGACCACGACATGGAATCAATGCAGATGCTCAAGCTGTCTTCTTGCCACCCAACCGCTCGTCAAGCACTGCTGAACACAGAAGCTTCTGCCGGACGATGAGCAATGCAGAAGAACGACCGCAGGACAGCGAAAGCACCCGACGCAACCCGCAAAGTTCCCATCTTCCCAACGTTCGCACATTAGGCAAGCCATTTCTTTCACTGCAGTTGCACTAGCAACCGTCTGAGGCAGGTTCCGTGAGGCCATGAGACTCCGGAAAGGTGTCTGCATGCTCTTGCGACTGGTCGAGTTTGCTTGAGCCCTTGTCCTGTGTGCAGTCTCGGGCTGATTGGCCGGCCGAGCTGCTGGTTTTTCGGGCGGGCTGTAGCAGCGTAGCACCTTAGCCAACTCTGTTTGAAATCATTTCTGGTGCCCTCCAAGATGCAAGCGGCCTTGGAACCATTCTTGCAATTCGATTGTCCAGTTTCGGAAGTTTGTTTCGAAGTGATGCTTTCGTGTGGTCATAATGAGCGGAAAGTCACCTGTGATGTGGTCTGGTATTCTAGATTCTTTGCACGTGCCGACAGCTTTGCAGCCCAAAGCTGCGTCCAGATATGCTCGCGTGATGGACTCTGCAGTTGATCTGTCAGAGCAAGTTCTCACGGGGGGTTCCCGTTTCTGAAAGCATGTCGCGCTGCGTCGTAGACATGTCACAAGCCATGGTCTGATACAGCCCCCGCATTTGGCACAACAAGTGTCGGTTTTCTCAGAACCTTACCTGCCGAACGTTCTGGGCCTGTCTTTCTGAAGTTTCCGAATCACTTCTTCCAGAGTCATTGAGGTGTGTAGTTGTAGCTCTCCGATGTGCTGTCGTGGTGGGCGTCGGCAAGCCAGTCGCAGCGTCCTTCTACACATTCGTCGTCATTCGTCAAGGTGTTCAGGACGCCGGCATTGGTGACACAATCCAGGGTCCACACCTGTGTTGGTGTGTTTCCTGCATGTGTTCCTTGGGGTGATGTGTTTTGCCGTGCATTTTCAATGGCCCATGCCCGGACGTGTGTTTCTTTACTAGTAGCTTTGAGGAGTTTTAAGGCCGATGGGAGCTGTTTCGCATGCCAGGGTAGGCGGGGGGAGTGGCGCAACAAGGTTGGATATTTGTTTCTGTTTTGGGAGAGTCAAGGGCAGCTCAAAACGGCACGACCACAACCAAGCACCTCTGTCGTTCCGGTCTTCTCTGGAGTCCAATGAGCAGACGCAGCACTTGCATCCGGTGAACTCCGCCTTTGTCAATAGGGCCTCTTCCTCCGCACGCGTATCCCTCGTCGCGATTGGAAGCCAGGTTTTTGGCGGGTATTCACCAAGATTACTCAAAATGCTTCTTTTCGAGGAGGGTTAAGGGGCAAATGCCGTCAGACAATTGATGCACTGCAAATGGGCCGGAGATCACAAGTTGAGTCAGAGCTTACATACAGACGGAGTGGCTGAGGCGCCGAAGCTGTCTTCAATGTTCGAATCGCTGGATGTGAACCAAGATGGTACTGTGTCGCTAGAAGAGTTCATGCAGATGCCTTCAGGCCGCAATTATGGCACACGGCTTGAAGTTTTCAAGCTCCCATTTTTGGAGTTCAACGTTTCGCTGCTTTTGACTTGAGGTCGGTGGATGTCTTCCCGCAGGAGCTCTTTGACAACAGCAGTGTGTCCAGCTTGCAGGAGCGTGACCTGCCATTTTTCGGATTGAGTGGTCCCGATGTTGCTTTTCTCGTGTTTACTCAAAATGTTGGAGCGACTGCATCCATGCATGCTTAGCTGTGGGCAGAGGGGGTGTCAAGTCAAGTTTCTTCGAGTAGTAAGCAAACGTTGTGGGGTGGGGAGGATTGTGCTGCGTTCGCGCAGGAAGTCTTTGAAATTCTGGACATCAGTGGCAAAGGCTTTCTCTCTCAGTCGGAGTTTCTTGGATCTGAATTCTGCAATGGTTGCGCATGCTTCATTAACTTCTGATGTTGTCGAGAGATCCAACTAGCCGGTCCCTTCGGCTCATTTCAAGGTTTGTGGAGGGACTGTTGAACATGTTTTTGCTCGACGTGCCGATTCATACAATTCAAATTCTTCGGCTGCTCCGTATCCTCGAGTCTCGCATCAATGGGCTGTATGACGAGTTTCGAGAGCTTGGTGATGGCAGCATGGACACGTCGGATGGACTGGGTGCAGCTGCCAAGAAGAAGGAGATATTCATCACTCGAAAGGGTAGGCCTCCGCCCAGAGAGCAGGCTGTTGGCTCCGACAATGTCGAGCCGACGAACCAGGTGTTCACCAACAACATCGCAATCAACCAGATTGTGGCTGAACACTTAGCGAGCACAAAGAACTAGAAAACCTTATGCCCTCAAAACGGTGCCTATTTGCACCAAAAGTTTTGAATACTTTTTGTTCGTGCTGTGCTACAGGGCCGGCGCAAGTTTGTGGACTGCAGCGAAGCTGCTAGTGCACTTGGCTAGTAAATAGCATGTTCTTGGCTTGTTCGTGATGCTCACGCAGCATGCAAGCCTTTGTTAATTGCAGGAGCAGTGCCTATCGACGCCTGGCATCTCCTGGCTGTTGAGCACCGGTTTGGGTGAAGGCAGTGCGTCGATGCAATGTTTGAAGCTTTAGCAGGGCCTCCACCGGACACACGTCATCCAAACACCAGCTTGTGAGAGCCTCCACAAGACGTATGCACAGCTTGGCGACAGAGCTTGCAAATAGTCCCTCTTGCTTGTGGAAGCCCGTCTCCGGAGTAAAGCACTTCAAGCACGCAGCTTCTGAAGTCAAGTTTGGCAACAGTGATAATCTGATTATCCTTGCACGCAGCTTCCTGGCTGAGATGCACTCGTAGAATGTTGATGCGACAATGCCTGCTCCAACCCTTCGTCCATCACTATGTTGCGTCGAGAATGACGGCAATGAGGTTGGTTTGTCGCAGTGTATGCTCATGTTCGCTTCTGGGTGGCATGCCAATTGCAACTTTATGCAGTCTGAATCAGGTGGCGGATGGGGATGGGCCGGAGCTCGACAATTTCCAGCGGCTCCACACAGAAGACTCCCTTCAAGCTGCTCGAGCACATCAGGCGTGAAGTGGGTACGGTAGTACTTTTTGTGCAGAAGCAGATTGTCGTTTTGGCCAGGAAAAGGCGCTGTTGATGATCAGTGAGGTCTTACGACAGATCCAAGAGCCTGGAAGCCGATTTCAGGCAGGGGCTGTCGGGTTACGAAGATGCAGCCGGTCGTCGCATCTTCTTGAGATTTCCGCCACTGTTTGGGCGGGCTTTTGCACAAACGTTGGTAAAGGAACAGCCCGACTCGATCTGACTCGGGTGTTTAGACTTGTAATGTTCGCTTCATATGAGACCTCCTTTCCCAAGGATGTTTGCCCCAGCCTCCGTAATGAGAGTGGATGTGTCCCTGCTGGTTAGAGCCCCACAGGAGCCTTAACACCTGCCGCCACACCAGAGGCCCCAGAAGCCCGCTAGTGTGACACACTGAAGCCAAGCCAGTTTTCGAATCTGGGTTTGCTTGGACCAGCAGGGTCTTCTTTCCAGCTCAGTCGAGCTTTCATCTAAGCAAGATTCTGGTTGTATTTGTCCGCCCTTGCCGCTTGGATTCTGCAAATACGGGAGGGTTTCTGGTTGCATTCTGGGAGCTAGACTTTACAATTACGTGGGCGTTTCTTATTATGAGGTTGACATTAGGATGCTCGCAGCAAAGAGACTTGTCTCATAGGCATCCCACCAAGGGTTCCGCTGTCTCGCCCCAGCAGCCTGTTCTCAAGATGTTCGCTCCACGGCATCTGCTGTGACAGTTGAGTGGCAAAAACGAAGTTCTAGGCACGGGATCCGGTGGCTCTTCCATCCAATGTCTCTGTCTCTCTCTCTCTCTCTCTCTCTCTCTGCTTCAGTACTGCTGCATCCTTGGTACACGGACGGCTGCTGCGCAACAAATGCAGGATTTCTCGATTAAAGACGTAGTTCGGCAACACGCTGCACGGACATCAGGCTTTGCAAGGCGTGCTCTCGAGTTCGAGCCAGTTCTCAGAGCTGTGTCACTACGTCACTGTTTCTGAACACGTTGGTGTCATTGCGCATCCAGCACATGGAGCTCGTTTGGCAAGCAAGTTGCTAGCGGAAGTAAGGCATGTGAAAGACTCATCGGAGACAATTCAAGGGAAAGAACAGGATGGAGTGACTGCAGGAAGTTTGTACATCTCCTAAATATCTGCTGCACTCTACACTACAGGCTCCTGCAGGTGCTGGGATGACGTTTCCTTTCATTTTCTTTATGTCGCGAATTGACCCATATGTTCACTTGCGTCTTCATGCCTTGCTCCTAAGAACTGAAGTTTGGAGTTGGTCTTTTCTGGGTTTCTACTCGGCCCTCGTCAGGGCTCGGAGCACCGCGACGAGGAGTCCTACGTTGCGTGTGATGAAGACCTGTCGAGCCGGGACGTGTCAGAAGTGGCGACTCGATCGACCAAAGACAGCAATTGACTTGAGCCTCTTGGGAGCTTTGGTTCGGGCTCGGGGCATGCCCGTAGGAAAGGTAGGGATGAGTTGCCAGAACCATCAGAGAGCCCAACATGTCAGCATCAAGACGTCGCCATGAAAGTCTGTCGTGCCCAGGTGAACCATCCTTTGCCACCATCTGCTCCTTGGCACGATTTTTTCAAGCTGGTTGGCAATTGTTTATTTTTGTTCCCCGGCAAACTGGCTTTTTCTATTCCTCAGGTTGAGCAGGCTCTGCTCTGCAAGCCGTAGGATCTTGAGAATGTCTGTGTCAGCCGGTAACCTGAATCGCAACGGATACCTCAAAGCTAGGCTCAGCTGATCCATCGAAAGCATGAGTCAGCCTTGCATTCAGGTGGGCCACAGATCGCATAAGCGCAAGACGACTCATCAGCCAAGATACCGAGCATTGCTGGAAGAGATGCGCACGGAGCTGCTTCCCACACTTCAGCTGAATCAGGGCATGAAGATCTGTGTTGTCTCGAGCTGTCGGCGTCTGGTTTCTTCTACTTGGTTCGATTACCTTTTTGGTTTCATCATCGCTGCCAACTCAATATGTATTGGTATCGAGGCACAGGCATCTATTGATTCTGTCGATATTTGGATTGGATGGCGCTGGCTCGACATCATCTTTGTGATTATCTATGTTATCGAGATTTCGATCCGCTTCGTCGCTGTGGGGTGCGCCAAAAGTTTTCACAGTGGTTGGTTTGTTTTTGATTTTATCTTAGTCATTCTGGGCGCGCTCAGTGCCATCGCAACGCCCCTCGCCTCTTATGCTTTCCTGGAGTCCGTCATGGTTGTCCGAGCGCTTCGATTGCTTCGACTTATACGAACGCTGCGAATGTTGCGCTATTTCCGTACTGTGTGGCGCCTTGTTTTTGGTTTGCTGACTTCCATCAACACCATCGCATCGACGCTGTGCCTGATTGTCCTGGTTCTGTACATCTTTGCTTGCCTGGGCATTGAGCTCATCACAAACGACGATGATCTCAAAAGGGTGAGCGTGGAGGTGGAAGAAGTCGTGAACCAGTACTTCCGATCACTACCCATCACAATGCTTACGCTCGCACAGTTTGTAACACTGGATTCCATTGCCACGGTCTATTCTCCATTGGTTGTCGAGCGGCCTTGGCTGGTGACGTACTTCGGGGCCATCGTCCTCATACTGTCAATTGCGCTCATGAACCTGGTACATCAGAGCCAATGCAATGTACCTGTAGGATCCTGTAGGCCTCGTACCAACTTTGCACCCCTAGCCCTGCCAGTTTGGGAAGATGGGGTTCCTCACCCCCCCCCACCGCCACCTCCGTGACAATTGTGGCACGATTTTCTCCGAGGTAACAGCGGTTCTTGTCGAAGGCGCACTCGAAAGTGCACAGCATGATCGCGAGGCTGCTAAGCACGACCTACACGAGAAGCTGGTGGAATGTGAACCTTGGCAGGCAAACGAACACAGTGCTGTTTAGGCAGAATTGAGCACCGATCGTATCTTTCGCTTCATCTGAATTCTGTAGGTTCTTTGTGCCTTCTGCTTTCCTCAGGTTCCTCGCTTGAGGTCGATTTTCATCAGCCTGGACAGAAATGGCGATGGAACCGTCTCACGGGAAGAAATTCAGCAAGTCCCACTTGACGTGCTCCCAGAACGGCTCTTTGAGCATTCCCACGTCGCAAGCATGCAGGCTGGCTCTCACTTGCTCGCGGTATGCATGGATGTAGGTTTTCATAGTGTTTGTGGACATGACAAGACCACTTCTTGCGAGTCTGTGTACGTCAGGAACTTTTCGAGATTCTTGATGTGGATGACGGAGGACTGTTGTCTTGTTATCCTGCTACGGGTCATTTCACCGTCCAGATCTGCACAGGGAAGTGCCTCGAACAGGCGGCCAGAGCGCGGCGTCGCACAGCGCACCAACGATTTCCAATCCGTGATGGTTATGGGGATGCTTGAGTGGGTTTGATGGTGGTAACATGTAGTGGCATGATCCCTGAGTACCTAAGTGATTCAATGTTATGGCTGCTACTATGTACTATGTACATCTACGTACTACCAGAACTACACCTCTTACGGTGTGTTGACTCACATTGCGTACTGCGTGCCATGTACCTTGTACTATGAACACGTACTGAAGCGGAGATAAAACTTGCCTGTGACCGGAATGCGCTCAAGGCATTCACGAAGGAGGCACCGATGGCATGGATGTTAGGGCATGGAGGCTTGGTCGTGAGCCAGTAGTATGTAAGTTGACATCGTTCTGGCATGGACGCTCAGTCCCAAAGGATGCGCAGGTAGCATGGACGTTACGATCGTTCGCGTGTCGCCACTCGGTCCCAAAGGATGCACTGGTGGGAGGATGAGGTCAGACATGTGATCTGAACATATCTCCAAATTACACGTATGTCTATATCGAACCCATGCCACATGCTAAACCGATGAAGGGACCCGAGTTCGGGCAAGCGACCCGGTCAGACCCTACCACGTGTTCGACTGCGACGACAACTACCGCTGCTGCTGCTGCTACTACTACTACTGCTGTTACACCTACTACAACTACAACTACAGACTACTGCTGCTACTACTACTACTGCTGCTGCTACTGCTATTGCCACTGCTATCAGGAAGTCACGAAGGCCCTGCGAGCTTGGGACATGTCATATGTCTATTGTCCCGAATGCCTGCGCCCTGTTGGTGGAGCTGTACAGTCGGCATTCTAAAATTTTATGACCGAGGATGACCCTCATTATGCTGACTGTGGCGGTGATAATGACGATGTTGATTTAGTCTGATTCAGGTGATGTTGCCGGTGATGCTCAGGATGACAAGCGATGACAAG